TATGTTTCTTTATACTTGGCTCAATAGGCACTTTAGTTTGGCTCATGGTAGGATCTCGTGTTGGTCACAGTTTCGACTCAGGTCTGTTTGGGCGTTCTTTTATTGTGAATTGGGTAGGAAAAAAAACCATATGCTTTAAAGCCAGATTTTTTTAGGATATGAATTTTGATAGTTACCTTTTTATAATGGAACTACATAAGACAGGGTAGAAATTATTGAAGGGTTTTAATCCGATTCTTCTTGGAATCCAGGTGGTTTTGTGGTGAGTCCTTGCTAGTGTGTTTGCCTCGGTTATTTCCCAAGTGAAAGCATGTCACTCCATTTCCACTTCGTGTCACTGGTGTGGTTCTGTCCACCCTGGCTACTGCTGCCTGCTCCCTGAGCTCTGCTCTGTGCTGAGACCCTCCTGCCCACATCTTCGGGTCTCAGGAATCCTCCCTGCCCTGAGCAAGCCTGGAGCTCCTGACTGAGAGGATGCTCATTGTGCCTCCCTTCAGGCTCCATGCAGGCACTGCACGTTGCACCATGCCAAACAAAAGAAACAGTGCCCATCGCAGTCTTCAGTCTTTGGATTTTGTTTTTAAATAGAATTAGTTTATTAAGATAAAATAAATAATTGTAATATTAATAATAAAGTGAAACAAATACAACTTGATTAATGGGAAGTGATTTGTATTCGTAGAATTACATGTTGGTACATTTTTTTATTTCTGCAAAGCTTACAGAGGGACCATTTGAAGAGAGTACAAATAAAGACTATTATCAGTTAATCAAGGTAACATAATAATGCATTATACTCATTATTAGGATTATGACTAAGGATTACAACTAAGGAAAAATAGTCTGAAATAAGGTGAGGTATGAACTTACAGTCAGGTAGAGTTTGTGAGTAGTTTTCCAAAACTACCAAGTTCAGTATTTGCCTTCCAGTAATACATATAAAATGCTAGGGGTTCTTAGAAAAGAAATACAGAACAAGTCATAATATCTTGTTATATGTGTCACAGTTTAAATCCACATATTGAATGCTGAGTGCAATTCCAATTACCTCATTGAAAAGCTAAGAGAAGGGTGATAGGAATGATGACTGTTTGTCTTGATTAAGGCAGCTCCCATTTTACAGATGACATTGCAGGCCTTGAAAAGGTCATTAAGAAATAGTAGTTTGTAACTTTTCTTTGCACAAAAATGGCAAATTTTAGAAGAAACAAAGTGTTTCTTGAGACGTCACATAGTTCAATCGTGGAACCCATCGTAAGGAAGCTGATTTAACCATTTTCTTGTCTATATTTCACTAGTCAGTAAAGCCTTCAGAGATCTGTCCTGATTCAGAGTTGTATCATTGTTTATGAGGTTGTATCATGATTAAATAAGCTTAAAGCATGTAATACATTTCTTCAAATGTCATATATTCTTTTCCATCTCATCTAATGACAAATACTTATTAATCATTATACAAAATATAAGAAATGTAACATGCTACTTATATTTATAGTATCATTCAAGAAGAGTGCTCTGAGTGTTGAATACTGTTCTGAAGCATAATGTAATGTTCAAAGTTTGTTTTCTTGCAGTGTGATTGACAGCCATTTTGATGCTGACTTAAGTTGTGTATTAGTGTCAAGTAATTGTTTGGGGAATTACAGCTGTCTTTCATATTAGTTTTTCCTAGTTTAATGTTCAGAGCAAAGCGAACAGAAAACATAAGGCAGAATGCTGTCAGTGATAAATGTAGTTTTAATGGCATGTGCGGGTTGTAAAATAATGTGTATGTATCTACTTGCATTTTGAAATTAATGTACGTTCTTGGACTTGTCTATTAAGAAAGATGAGAGCATTGCAGACAACTCTACTGCTGTGTGGATGGGAAGTTCTTTACCCATTTTTTAGAATACTCAAGTGGATAAATATTCAAAATAACTATATAATTTTTAATCTGTTATCAAAAGTGGTTTCCTATTAGAAACATGAAAAAGGAATAGGAAGTATCAGAATAGAAAAAAATAAGTGCTAAGTATGCTCTATTTTTGAACTTTTTCACTATAGTTGAGCTCTCTTACTCCTAATGGTTTTTATTACTATTTATTTGTAAATTGGCATTTGTTTACAATTTGTTTATTTTGAAGATAGGACTGGAAAATTAACATGACCCATTAGTGTTAGGGTTAAAATTTTCTTTCAACATGGAAAGTATTACGGTCTTAATGCTTCATAAGCTGTCCCTTGAAAAGGCAGAGTGGGGAACTCACATTTTGCATTCTGTGCAAATGAGTGCACTGTGATATTTAATTAAGTGTACATGTTGGGTCTGCAATGTTTGAAACCCATTCTTGATACACTGGGTATATTTTTATTTGAAGCTGTTTTAAGAAATGTATAATTTAATTAAAGCCAGTTATTGGAATTATTAAATGGGATAATTCCACGCCGAATTTTTAATTGCATTCTTGAGTTAATGCCTGTCTTACAGCCCCCCTTGGTATTTTGCAAAATATTTTTCATCAGGTTGATAATGCAAAGATAATTAAGGCTTATCATAGTACCTGTGTTAGTTAAATCTTATTTCTTCTGTTTGGGCTCATCCTATCTAGTAATTGTAGTCGTTTACCAATGAAGTATATGCCAAATGCATATATTTATTATAGTTTAATTGATGTGTTCTCTAGAATCACATAGAAGTCTGGCAGATTGAGGGGAAGAAAAAAGAAACAAAATGAAAGGGAGCGAGGAAGAGCAGACTGACTTGACCCTTCATATCTAGGCTGTTAAAGATGACATCTTTGTGTAGACTTCAGTTTGTGAAGAGAGATATAGATTAGGGGGTTTGAAAAGAGAACTAAAATGTGTTATCTTTTCACTCAAGGAGTATATTATTTATTATGAATCTCTTTATGTTTTGCTGACAGAGGCAGCTTCTTAAATGGGTTTTAGTTTGATCAAATATTGGTTTTACTGTTGATGTGTTAGAACTCTGTCCTGTGTCTTTTCCTTTTAAAATGTTACAAAAGTCAATCAGACGTGTTCTGTGTGATGCTGTTAGATATTTCTCACATTTTTTTAATGAACTGAATACTTTGAACGCTCTATGCTGCAGTGAAGCATAAACAGCATGTCACTGTGTTCACTATCTATTTTTTCACTTATTTGAAAGACAAAATGTTAAGACAATTTTTTGGTAAATTGAGTTTAATTTATACATTGATTTGTTTTTAGTTAAATGTGGGCATCTTTGTTATCTTCATCTTATACTTAAGCAGTATGTTCATTGACAACCACTTGCTAAAAAAAAGCCTATATTTATGCAGATACACTGCATGATCCATTTTGGGTTCCTTCGTTAGTAACCTGATGTTCAAGAATGAATATTTAGAAATACCATGATCCTTCCAGAAATAAATGGGTTATGAAGGAAAGCATAATGAATCTGGAAGAGTTATCTTACAAATTCTCTCTCCATTTTTCTGTATTTGCAAAGCTGCTGCATTAGCAACAGAAGCAAAGAGGACAAACATAAGCATTGCAATAGTAATTTCCTTATCAGTGAAGCCCAAATTAAATAGTAGCATGTTAGGAAAGCATGATTAGGTCTGTTTTGCACGACTATAAATACTTCTTCCCAATGTGGTTTCATCTGCAGACGTACTGAGGTACAGATGCACTTTTCAGCTGAACCATTTCATCACATGTGGCCTTATATATTGTGGCTGGAAAGGTAAAGAATGTAATGCTTAGCCTCACGCCATGTCTTCTTCACTTACAAACCTGTTCAAGTCAGTCAGTATAAAGTTACAGGATATTCAACTTTTTATTACTTTGGAGATGGGTGAAATGTAAGAACTTCATCTGAAATCTACTGAGAGCAAAGGTGACTGATGGCTCCTCTCCCCACCTCTCCCCCCTCCTTTCCAAACAAGTTTTGATGTCCACTGCATTTCTCTGAAGATATGAATTCTTAGGAACCTGTGTGTAGTTCATAAGAGGAATATAACGTGACCAGTAGTGTGGAATTTCTTTTTCAGGACAGTTTGTAATACAAGGCTAGCATTTGAAGTACTGGCAATGTAAAAAATAATAATAAAAACAGGGAGTTTTCTCTAAAGATCCATAGAACTGTTCAAAGCAGTTTGCAGTAAAAGGGCTGGAAGAAGTTCCCCACATATTTGAATAAATAGGCTGAATTATTCAGAAAACAAAAAGAAAGACCCTAGATATTAACTGAATACTTCTAGGAGATACAGCATAGCCTATATTTATCTCCAGAGAGCATTGAGTACATGTTTTTGTTCTCTTCCTGCTTGTACCTTTCAATTTCCCTACACGTTGAATTCTCCACATACTGAAATTTGTCTGCTTATACTGGCCCAGCATTTTTTATGTTTACAGCTGTAAAATGGTAGTTAAGCTGGTGTAATCAAGTAAATGATTGTTTTCATGTATTTTGAAAAGAGGGTGAAGGAGTCATTAATACGGTGAGTAGCTGATATTGAGTTGTTTAAATTGTAGCTGTTAAAAAATCAAGTAAATTATTTATCAGAAATCTTATTCATTTTCCTTCTCTAACTTACACAAACTCATTATGCATGCTGTTCATCAATACTTTTCCTCTTTAAGATGCTTATGTCCTCATCAGAAAGGGGTCTGAATTGTTTAAAGACTGTTTTTGATTATAAAAACACTTCTTGTAAATGGTGCTGATTAATAAAACCATAAATTTTCAGAATATTTGACCAATATGGAAGACAAATGGGGAATTTTGAAATGCCTGGACAAAAGTAAGTGATAGGCAAGTCTGGTTTCACTTTTGCTGTTTATTATGTGAGATTCAGTTTAAGATTGATGAATATTCTACGTTGTCCTTAAAAATGTATAAAGTCCGTTTAACATCCATCTAATTGCATGGTAGGAAGGAAGTTCTTGAACATCTAAATGATTATTTTCTCCTGTTTGCCTCCTGCAGTGAATAATCAATAGTGTGCTTGTTTTTGTTTTTTGTTTTCCAGATAACCTTTTTCATGCTGCTCTCTGCAGTGTGTGTAATGCTGAATTTAGCTGGTTCCATTCTTTCTTGTCAGAATGCTCAGCTAGTAAAGTCCCTGGAAGGATGTCAGTTGGTGAGTAATGAAAAACAAACTTGTTCTAAAAAGGACAATATATATTATTTTCCATTTGTTTGCATTTTATACACACGTTGCTTTAATTTTCAAACAGTACGTGTTCTGTAGAGCTGCTGTTAGCCTTTACTGTGTGACAGGTCACATTGAGAAAAATTTGAGAATTTAAGAGCTAGCATAGTTAGAATATTCTCCCACCTTAAAAGACTTGCTTCTGTTGTAGGCAGAATAAGTGAAATACAGACCCCTTCAAACCAATGCAATGGTTGCCATTTAATGTTACAAGTATCACAGTTTCATCCAGTGTCTCCTTCTATAGCTAATATATTGCCTAGACATATTGATAGTGATGTTTTAGTATGTGTACATTTTTTTATCTGCGTGTAACTTTATAATTTCCAAAGCAAATGTATGTTAAATAAAATACAGAATAATAATTAAAAGTTGCCATAATATGACATGCTTTGAATTGTTAAAAGGTGCAATATACCTAAACGCAGTGTTTTTATCTCATGAGAAAACACACGTGGCCTGCCTGAAATCTCTAATTTAAAGTAAATATCAAAAGAATGATCATGTTTCCTACGAATTTGGAAGACAAATGACATTGGATTATAAGAATGATGAATGAGCTAGAGAATGTTTGTGGACATGCATCAGTGTTCTTTTTAATGTAATCTGACTGAAAACCAATCAAATTATCTAAACTACATGAGTATGCACAATATTGATTAAATATTAGGGTTATGCTTGTATTGGCCTTATCCTTTGGGCACACACCAAAATGTTGACTGGAATTATAAAGAGAAAAGTAATTTTCATCTCTAATGTCAGCAGGTGAATCTACAAGATGCTTCTTTATCTCTTCTACTCAGCCATTGTTTTCTTCTTCTGTTTTTTGCCCAGTAAATCCCTGCAAGCATCTATTTGAATGCGAGTATATAATAAAACAAAATTAAAATAAGAAAATCTCAACAAATATTTTTGAAATAGACCTGAAAAATGCAGAATGGGAGAACATTTGGGTGTAATTTGCCATTGGGTGTAACTTATTTAGTCAGCTTTTAAGCCTTTGTTCTGTGTTCCTATCACCCATGTGTTGTTTTCAAAGGAGTGTGTCTGCAACTCCATAAATGAGCTACACTTTCTACAGTGTATGTGATTTCCAGCTCTGGTTGGGATTCAGGCTTTACAAAACCAAATGGATGGAGCCTGGTGTCTGAGTGTGTGGAAAACCAGCAGCAACCCAAAGAGAGGCAGAGAGGATTTTCCATTATATATGTGTGTGTGTGTGTATTTATATTTATTTTATTTGGGGAACTTGATGGCAGTTCTTGTTTCTCATTGCTATGGGAATTTGGAATTGTGCTGCAGAGCTAGAATGGTCAACTCATGGTACCTGGAGGTGTTACAGGATGTGTGCTGCTCTCTGGAATTGTATTTTTTGAAACTAAGTAACATAGGTATCTTTTGTTGGGAGCTCTTTAAAGTGAGTCTTACTGTTTTCTTTTGACATCTCCGCTTTGATACTAGGGCTGTTTTTAATTACTTTTAGGGAGTGCATTTGTACTACAACTTCCCATGAGGACATAATGAAATGGCTGTGTATTTGCGTAGAAGAATAAGCAGCTTCTCAAAAGAACTGCATTTTAACCTGCAGAGTCAAACAATTTTGTTTGTGGCAGTTCACTGTAAGGGGTATATTGAATTTGTTTCTGGACAGAATGTTTGATACGTGGCATTGGTGTTCTCATGGAATGCCATCTTGTCACATCTTACGTATGGGAATAGCAGCAAAGTCCTAAGGAAAAGAACATAAATGTTGGAAAGTAGATGGAATTACTTATGTTTTTCTTGCTCAGTGGAGTGTTCTTTGATTTGTTGACCAAAAAAAAAGCTGCTCTTTTAATTTCTCTAGTAGAATTTCTCTACTCTTTAACATATGTGATTTCAGATTAGAAATGCTCTTAACTACTCAGTGTTTTTGACATTTAATGACTATGGTATTAACTAAAAAAATTGTGAGTGGATATTATAAATAATGTAATAATGTCTTAAGGGGTCCATCCAAACCTTTGTATGGAATCAGCTGCTATACTGCTGAATGTACAAAAGTGATGACATATTCAGCCTTCTTTACTGCTTCCCTTTAAAAAAAGAGTTGGTTTGTCAATTCACAGACATATTTAAAGGAAAAAGTGTATAGTAGGGCAAATTGTTGAAAGCTCTTCAAAAATATGTGTTTGATATTGAAAAGGAATTTTGTTTCATTCTGATCTTAATGTTTTCTGAATATGCTATATATTCTAGAACATCCTGATGTTTTGCAAAAACTTACATGTAAACAATTCTAACAATGTTTAAGAATTGAATTAAAGAGAGAGTTGCAGAATCACAGATTTGCAGGAGTTGGAAGGAGACCTCAAGAGATCAGGAAGTAGGAAGTTATGGAACATAATTCAGAATGTATCAAGAATCTTTCATAAATGTTGGATTATAACCAAGGAACTACTTCCGTTTTCAGCCTTTTCTTATGTGACACCAGTTCATTATGTGAGATAGAAGTAGACCTGGCATCTGTATTTTTTTTTTAGAAATATCAAGTGTGTCTCACCTTGAGTCAGTGACTATTTTTCCTTGAACAGTGTCACCATGGATCACAGGAATAATCATTCTAGTAGGTAGCTTTGTCTGAAGTTCAAAACTTCACACAAAGTTATAACTTTTGTGCAGCTGAAGAGTGTATTGATCTGCCTGGTGCTGATATAGCATGTGTGCTGTAGCATTCTGACTGCTGTCTTTGATGTAACTCTAAATTGAAAGTTCAGGTTTCAAATTTGCTCTGTGCATTTATCTAACAGTTTACACCATTTCTGACATTCCTACAGGAGTTGAAGAGCAAGACCTCCCCAATGGCATTTCACGTTGTATTTTCTGTTGACTGGAGAAGCTGAGGTTGTTTGATTATAAGCCATAGTTGGGTTTTATTTGGATCTTTTGCTTTTTAAATGGAGTATTAAAAGTTGGCAAGTGTAAAATCTGAAAAAAAACTCCAAAACTTTTAAAGCAGCTTCATGAACTGTATGCTAGTTAGAAATAAACAGCACAACTTCTTGAAGGTGTGCAAACTATGAAAGAGGGTATCATCAGTCTGTGTGAGTTGGTATAGTGAAGTATTTCCAGTGCTGCCATGTAGCATGTGAGAAATGGCCTAATTCTAATGCTCAGATTAAAATAAATAAATAAATCTTTTTTAGCAGTTACACAGACTAGAGAGCAATCTAGATTCTCAGGAATTGGAATCCACTGAGACAGATGTTATTCTTTGAGTACAACTTCATCACTGTGTATGGAAAGCATAAAAGTTATCTGCATCTCATCTGGAAAATTTTATAGATTTTTAATGGACTCTATTCTTTCAATTGCTGTTCTTGTTGCCAGCATGAAAACAGAGTACTAAATAAGATGACAGGAATGATTTTATATATATATATTTATATATACACACACACACACATTATCTTAATCGTTAATCATATGGTCTTAATCATTACATACTTAAATATACTAACAATTTTAATATTCTTCAGGGTATTATACAGTAAGGAAAACTTCTGTTGAGGTGATTCTACACATATGGCTGTAAGAGGTACTTCTGCAAGGAAGGCTTATATCATTTCAATTTCTTTGTTCAGGAAATTGACAACACTGTAGAAAGTCATTTGAGTTAAAAATAGTAAATGCACATTTTCATTAGGGATTTTTTTTGCTGGATTAGTGTCTGGAAAATTTGAAATACATTTCCCTTGTAGAGGAGTAAGTAACATGGTAGTTTAGATTTCTTAGCAGCCAACTATTTTGCTTCCATCTTTACTTAGAGGAATACAGCAGTGATTCAAGATGACTGAATAGTACCTTGAATCTATTATTCTTCGCACGGAGAGCTGTGTAAATTTCCCGTTGGTGTCATTCTTAGTACTGATTATTGGACTATAGAAACCTGGGATCCGGCATCTTAAAACTTGTAGGTCAAGCAACTCCTGTGTGATATGAATTCTTTTTCTCAGTACGAACTATTCAGTCTTAACAATTCAGATGGAATTGTAACAAGTGACCTGGAGAGGTAGGAGGTATCCATTTATCAGTCCTTTAAATAACCTGCATAAATGGGAATGAGGAAATCATAGAAACATCAAATTGAGAAAATAAGTGCAATGGTAATTCATGGCAGCAGACTAGTTAAAAACCTTTCTGGAGTTAAATTTTGGCCTAAAATTTTTTTTTGAAGGAGGAAGAAAGATGATGCAGTCCTTTGTCCTTCTCAAATATGGAATCCAAAATCATTATAACAGTTTTCTTCACTGAGCAAGATTTATTTTATAATCACGCACAGGAATCTAATGAGAGTCTAATGCTTAATGAATATTTAATGTCTTCAAAACAAACCAAATTCAGGAAAACAGTGTACAAATATTTTCCAAAGTGAAAGTATGGAATTATGTTAATTCTTGTTTTCTCCACATTTTCTTAATGCTTTGTTCTCTCTTCTGAAGTATGTCTTAGTTTGTATTGTAATTGGTTTTGTACATATGTGTAAGTACACGTGACATTTGTGACCATGACTCTCTTCTTTTTTCTTAATCTTTCTCCATTGCATATGATTTCATGCATATTCATTTGAGCTGAACTGTGGTTTCATCTGCCTCTGCAAAGCAAACATTTTCAGCAGTCACTGTTCTTTAGTATTGTCTCCTTCTTGTGTGTTTCACCTGTTTTTATAGCTTTTGTTAGCTAATGATTGACATTCTGCTGTAGGGGAATTATAAACAATGAAATAAAGGTTTGCATTTTACGATTGGTTCATTGCTGTCACAATAAGTGTAAATAAAATTGTTGGAAAGTGTTCTTCTATTTACTGGCATTTTCTCTGACTTTTTTTTTCCCTCCTCAGATTAAATTTGACAGTGATGGTGTCTGTGTTTGCTGTGAAATGCAGCATCAAACGTCAGGTTGCAGTAACCTTGGAGAAATGCTGAAACTGAACCCTCTGCAGGAATGTAATGTTGTGAGGTTGACCCTAAAGGTGCGTTATGAGAAGGATTAGCAGTTAATTTCAATTTTAAGTAGTAAGTTTGTTGTAAGATAAAAGTGTGTGATGAAAGGAGAAGTAGCTGGTGGTATTATCAGTGTTTGTATACTTACTCCTGAAAACAAGGAGAAAAAATAAAAAAGAACAAAAAACCTTAATCCAGTGGAATTTAATACTTAATATTTTCTGTTTCAGGTTTCGTGTTGTACATTCAATATCTTTGATTTGCATATGTAACTGTTTTTGTAGATTTCACTAAACCAGAGGCCATGCTTGCTTATAGCTAATACTGGAAGAAACAAAGACAGACACTTTTCTGGTTGTTGCTCAAGCAAATTGGGATGGGAAGTACTGGTTGGTGTTGTTCAGTGATGTGATAGACTGCAAGGAAATGCTAAGTATTAGTAAAATGTATTTCAAGTTATGTTACTTTGGCAGAGAATGGCAAGTGTTTGTGTGACTGTGCATGCTTATAAACTACTGTCCAATGTTACTAGAAGCTTAAATCATACCGTGTTTTGTGTTGAAATGACCCAGGTAAAGAATGGAGAGCAAGTAATAGTAATATTGTATTCAATTTTATTCCAATGTAATTACATACATTCATTGTCACCAAAGTAGCAAGAAGTGTTACTGTATTGTTTTGGAAAACGGTAATCTATGAAAGAACTGAACAAGAGAAAAGAACTCTAGCCTAAATTACAGATGCTGATTTATTTTAAGTTTAGTTTAATGATTGACATAATTAAGTCTGCATCTGTGGCTCTCAATTTCTAAGCATAAATTTTAATAAAGTTAGAATAGCATGGAATGAAGTAGTGTAACTCAATGTAATAAGAAGTTTAGGAATTAGGCTGTAGATTGAGGCCTGGAAACTCAAAATTAGGTTTATATTTGAAGAAGTATTTTAATGTTCAAAATAGGTGTAAGTCTTGCAAAAGGAACTGTAATAAGCAGTTATTCTTCAGCTGTGTTAAGAAAGATAGACAAGAAAAAGGACTACTAAGTGGTAAGGATTAGATAGAAATTAAAAATCTGCTTTGCACCAAAGCTAAAAAATTGTACATCATGTTTTAATGAGGATGATATGGGGGAAAAATGGGACCAAAAGCCTGTTGAGCAGCGGGAATCTTGTAAGTGACAAAGAAGCAAATACTTAACACTACATCTGACCAATAATGTTAACTGTGACTTGGAATGCTGAATTCAGGACTCTATTCAGTGCTGTGGTACTTTCTCTTTAATATGAAGGAAATGCAGTCTTCAGTGTTTAGTAGATGGAAAAAATATGAATCTGTACAGAAAAATCCTACTAGTTGATCTTATAAAAATGGAGAGAATATATGATTACTGTTGTATGTGTGTCTGTAAAGTAAACTGCATCAATAGAAAGAAAATAACTGAATCTTAGAGGACATTGTCAGCATATGAAGTGCATGTGACCTTCGTTTACTGGAAATCAGGGCAAAGTTTCTAACAAATACAGCAATAAGAACAGCTGCACAAAATGTAATTTCTTGTTTAAAAAAAAAAAAAAAAAACAGAGAAATTGGTGACATTTCTGTTTGCATCAGCAGAGGACTGAATTAAAATCAGGAGTTCCTGTGAGTATAAACTGAATGCAGCGTTAATTATCAGATTTTTTCAGTTAAGAGAGGGTGATAATAATGATTCTTAAATCTTTCATTTTTAATTCTACATTTGTTTGCTTTGAGAGTTCTGTATTCCTGACAAATTTAAAGATTAGGAGCCTAGTGTCAAGCAACAAAAGGAAAAAAAAAGATTACAGCGTGTTCCTTAAACAGCTGACTGAGAAAAAGCTTACCTTTACTTTAATTTCAATTAACAAGTATGATGTGATTTTGGGAGAACACATTTTTTACTAGAAGATCATTTCTGCTCATTGTTTAGGGCATCAGGGGAGAGAAAATGTAGAATACCAAAGTTAAGGTTATAGATCTTTATGAATGATGTTACTCAAGTTCCACTCTCCGTTTCTTTATTCAGACTGGGGGGAAATCTCATCTTTCCACTGTGTAACCTGGGCTTTTTGATGGTGGTAACTACAGGAGCTCCATTGTAAACAGAACAATGGCACACGTATCAACTGTCTGATCTTGTTCCCAATGAGGCTTTCTTGACTGTCTCTCTGTCATCTGATCTGTCTATGCAAGCTGAGTTTTATTCATGTAAAACCAGAAAAAATTGCAGGAGCTTAAATCTCCTGTAAACATACACGTGTGCAGACATATAAATGAGCACACGTGGACATAATTGTAAATCTGGTGTCATCTCTGGGTTACGCTGCTGATTGTACCTCGGCATAGTCCTGAATCTATTTCAGGATGAGATAGATATGAATGAGATATGTTTGGTTGGTTGTTCTTTTTTTTTTCCTGTTTTTTTTCTTACATGTTTGCATGTAAGAGCGTAATGTTATGTGGCTTTGGTTTAGAATCTGTTTAGTGGGATTTTTAAATAACTTTAACAGCTTATGTAGTCCAGAATATTTGCAATGATGCATGCTAACTTATGAATATATAGAAATATTTGCTTCCTATTTTACTTAAGTGCATTTGTAGAGTGGTTTTGTGACTATACAGGCGAAGTAAAAGCTATTTCCTTCTGTATTTTCAGCACAAATAATTGTTTCAGAGCTACTGAAATTAAAGTACAACATTAAATAATAGTGTTCTTCAGTTCTGGTTCCATTCAGTAGCATCCTTATTAGGGATTTCTGTAGCAGGTTTCTTACAGTCTTCCATGCAGATCTTTCCTTTAGTGTCCTTTGGAGCAGAATTTATTTTGACTGTGTTTTCTGATGACCAAGTTTAACCATGTTTTTTGTTTTTTTGTCTTTTTTTTTTTTTTTCCATTTAGAACAGCATGGTTTCACTTCCTAACAGAGGATGTCTCCTTAAATGTTTTTTAGTTAGGAGAGCAGACTTATCTTCTTTGATGCTCCTCTCGTTCCCTCTACAACCAAATACAAAGTAAAATTACTTTTCTAAAAGACTTTATAATATTTGAATTTGAATTTGGATGAAGCTCAGTGGGAAAAAAATAACTTTTAAGATAAGATTTTTAAATGCTGGAATTATTTGACGTTCTGTAACAGGAAACTGAAACATACTGGCCACCATCAAAAATAGAGCAGTTCAGGTGTGAGCTTTTGTACTCAATAGTTGAGCTAAAAGTATTCAGAAGTTCTGAAAAACAATTGTGTAACATACACAATCTGTTCATTCTTTTCTTTCTTGTTTATTTCTGTTCCTAGTGTATAAAAATGAGTGAATACTATTAAGAACTTCTCTCATAACTGAGACACTGCCTTTTTTCAATGACTGAAATCCATTTATTGTGTGCTTGTCTAGTTAATTTATGGAACTTCAATACTTTGAGACTATCTCAATAATATATCACTACTACTACATTTAACATAGATACCTCAGTTGATGAAGGATTTCAAGCATACATCCAAGCAGTGATGATCTTTTAGAGTTTACTTTTATTAAGTAATTGCACTGTTTCTTCGAAAATATAGTAAATATTTTAGGCTTATGTAAAGTAGTACATTAAATTGTACCTTTATACCATAATTCTATTTTATGAAGCCTGGGCCATTTCTCCACATACAATTTGATGTGCATATGAAACTTTTCTGAATTGTCTTCCTAGTCTTAGAGCTGCTATTTGTCCTGGTCTTTTTCAGACCTGGTCTTTTTCAGTTAGAACAACTGAAGTTATGATTTGATTTAAAGGGAATGTTTTCATCAAATTCACAACTAAGAGAGGCAGAGAGAGATTCGTTTAATGGGTGAAAAAGCTTTATTGCTCAGTATCTATTTTCAGGTTGACATTGTATTAAAAATGAAATACCAGAATTGAAGTCAATCAAAGAGAAAAAAAAAATAATCTTCACAGAAAGTGAAGCTGGCTTTAGGCCTTGATCAGAGTTTAAATCCATGAGTTCAGGGCTACTGGTTACAGAGTGTCCTTTTTACACATCAGCAAGCTTATTTTACTCCTTTTATTGGTTATTGACCAAACTCTCAAAAGTTCACAGAACTTAAGAGCCTCCAGAAATACCAACCTATTTCCTCAGGAAAACAATCTTTTCAACCAGCAAAATGAGAGTGTTTTGTCAAGTTCAATAGAAACGTGCTACTTCAATAGTGTTGTACAGGTTAGAACTCTTAGGAAGTACTGTCTTTGTGTTATGTAACTTATTTTTTGGTTATATGTGAATAAGTAACTCAGTTTACAAAAAATAAAACTATCTTAAATCTTGTAAATAAACATGGAGAGAAAAATAGGAGACAAAAAGCCTTGATCTATATTTTGGTACCTTCCACTGCAAAATAGTTTTGAATGCATGATCTCAATTCTTCGTAAGCAGCGCAGGTTGATAACTTTCCATAATAGTTGAGAAAAAAACAAGTACTCAGTAATAATAGTGCTTCATCTCTGTGATATGTTAGCGTTTTTTAATGTTAAATTCCCTGGTTTGGTAACAGTGCATGTAATTGAAAGTACAATTCATCACTATGATAAAAGAGGCTAGGGAGCGATTGAATATTTAGCAAAGACTATATTTGAGTTGTTGTGAAGCCATCCGGAGGTTCTTGTTTCATGTATTTTCATTTGCCTGGTTTCTATTCTGTATTCTGTGTGGGTATGTAAAGAATTATGGAGCCCCTGCAACAGTTTTCTTAGAAGGAGACAGATTAAGTAAGGTGATAAGTTGTTTTTCTAAATAATTATTCTGAAGCATGTGATTTTATTGTGCTTACACTAAAGTCCTTTGGTGTGCTTGGCATAACTTGACTTCATGGCAAGTTTTTATGAAACAATGGTTTGTGCTGGGTAATTGGAATACCAAAGTTTCAGGGGAACATTCTCTTTTATTAACTGGTGTATAATGCATTTGTTGAATAAAGTGTATGTTGTTAAGGTGGAATGCTCCCATTCAAAAAGCTAACTCATTTTACTGC